GTTCGCTCTACGTCTCTCTTTTGGGAAGCCGACAAACAAGGACAAGGCTTAACTTCTTAATGCTCTTGCGGCCTGGGAGATTGTTCGTGGTTGCGGCTGTTGCGGCTTGGAAGATCTGGTCTGTGCTCTACGACTCCGCGAGCGGCTGCAGGATGGGGTACGCAACAAGCAGCAGGCCGGACATCTGCGGGCATAGCATATGGCGTGCGAGCGGTGGCCGGGACAGCCAACTGCAACGATGCGTCCGTGCGGCTCGCCGCTCCGGCACTCGGTCAGGCTTGGTTTGGATAGGCTTGGACTGAGGTGGATTGGGAGCAAACCCCGCCCACCAGGGAAGCAGACCCTCGTCGGGGAAATATCCACGTCCATGTGCTAAAATGGTATTTGGCAACGACAGGGGTGGAACGGTTCCACCCAAAACCACGTCAACCCGCGTGGGTCTCAAGCCGCTTCTCCTTAGACCGGGAAGGAGCGCCCGCGAGTCGCGATGTTTCGTCGCTTCGCTCCTGAAAGCGCCGCCACCACAAGAATTTATTTTTTGCTCGTGTGGGTGGGGATCGGTGGACGGCAGGGGATCACCCCATCCCCACGTGAGTAGTCTACCACGTGAGTATTGATCCCTAAGTGCCAAACGAAGCCTCGGTGGTGGCGGCGGTAGCAAAGAAGGGATTGGGGGGGTGGAGAGCAGATAGGGCTGGGGGTTAGGGTTATCTGCTTTTATACGTACATATGTGGATCATGGGCTGGTTGCCTGCTTGGTGGGCTGGTATTCGATGACTTATGCCAACAGGCCTTGCGAGGAACGGGGAAACAGGGACGGGGGATGAATCGTTCCGTTTTTATCCCCGTGGGACAAAACTCTCCCTATCCCCGTCCCCTAATAGGGGAATTACCCACGGGGAATCAGGGAACAAGCCCCGTTGACATCTTTAGGCGCGGGATGGGCAAGCGCGGCGGGCGGGAGCGACCAGCGCGGGATGGGCGCATGGCAGCAGCAAGGCTAGACTCCTGGAGAAGGCTGCCGCGTTGGAGAAGGCCAGCGGCGGGCGGGATGCATACGGCAGTGGGGAAAAGAAATGTCGCCAGTGTTCTCCAAAACTAAATTGCAAGTAAACGGTGGTAAACTATTTTGTTTAGGGAATAAACGAAAATTAACGGTTGACCGTTTAAACGGTCAAAAAAAAGGGGAAAACGGTCTAAACGGCCTAAATGGAACGGAGATAAAACATCATTAAACGGGCTAAACAGCTGTTTAAACAGCTGTTTAGGCGAACACAAGGTAAATCTAGTTCAGTTTTGTATAGATAAATTTATATACTTAAGTTTATTATATTTATAAATATGTACACTTGATATGTTACATGCATAAATATCTATATTTGGTTCTTTTCACATGCATAAATATATATACATACAAAAATAATTGATTTTTACTCGAATAAATATGTATAAATGCTAGAATACTTGATTTTTTACATGCACATATATAATTATATGTATTTTTTTTAAAAGTACAAAACCATTTATATCGTTTAACTTCGTTTAAACACCGTGTAAACAGCCTAAACACTAAATGAAGGACGACCGTATAAAGACCGTTTACCGTTTAGAAAAACATTGAATGTCGCTGTGTTTTTTTAAGAAACCACGATGAAGGTGGAACGCGGAAGAGACCTGTTGAGCTCGATCGTTGAACAGGCCTGGGAACGAGGTGTCCGGACAGAAGATGCCTGGATGGACGTCCGTGTGCCAGCATTATCAATTGCCTTTTGGGCTCTCGCTCGAGCATCGCTTCACGGCGTGCGTTCAACGCGTGTGTGGGCGTCGACTCTAGAGTCAAACATACACCGTACTCCCTCCGTTCAACAAAGAATATAATTATGAGATACATGCCAGTCAAAGTATGTAACTCAAGTTTGATCGAGTTTATAGGCGGTGTTTAGTTGGACAAAGTTTGCGCAGACAAACTTTGCATAGTGAAGATTCCATACTATAGCATTTCGTTTGTATTTGTGAATTATTGTCCAAACATTGACTAATTAGACTCAAAAGATTCGTCTCGCAAAGTTAAAGCAAACTGTGCAATTAGTTTTTGATTTCGTCTACATTTAGTACTCCATGCATGTACCGTAAATTTGATGTGACGGAAATCTTCTTTTTGTATAATGCACTTTTTCAGAGTTTGGGAGAACTAAACAAGAGCATAGTAAATAATATTAACATTTATGTCATCAAACAAAATTATTATGAAAATATATTCAATAACTCATCTAACGATACTTATTTTATATCATTCACAATAGTAGTTTTTATATAAATTTAGTTAAAGTTTAAATTGTTTGACTCTTCACAAAAAATGAGAATTAGATTTTTTTTTGGGACCGAGGGGTAGCAGTCCGGAACCGTGGGGCCGGCACACGCCCTCGGGGCACGAGCCACCGCTCTCTCATGCAGACATTTCAATCTACTGTGTTAAACATTGGTTTCAAATCGCCGACAAACCACCATTTCAATCTTTTCGCTCACAAAAAACGGCGACCACCAAATAGCTCAAAAACATAGCACCAACAGGTTGGCCCCTAGTCGCGTGAGTCGGCGAAAGACGGACGACGCCACAGTGATTGGCCGATGTGTGCGCCAGAGTGATGCTGTGCCGTGCCCGTGCACCATGTAGGTGTTGATCGACGGGACGGTCTACTAATACACGCGGGATTATACTTATCACCCTTCGTTTGGGCTTGTTTGACTTATAAACCGTATTTTTAGCCAACGAACAATATTTTTCTCTCACACCAAATCAGCCAACAATACTTTCACCATGACTTATCAGCCAAATAAGTCCAACCGAACAGGGCGTATATCTCCTGAGGAGATGTCACCAGGCATCCTCCGCCGGTGCGGGTAACAATTATGCTCAAGTACCCGAATCTAAGGATGAAAACGGACGGGATGAATCCCGTTCCGTCCGCAACAGTATACCGTTTTTTTTCGTTTATTTTTGTTTTTTTCTGGATAAACGGAAACGGAACCGAAAACGGGACGGAGTGAAACGGGACCGGAACCGAAAACAGTAGAGCGTTTGTCCGTCCGTATTTGCGGTATCCCGTTTTCGACCGGGATATCCCGTTTTGCATCCCGTTTTTATTAAGTCCGGGATAGGCCTGCTAAGAGCTTAGTCCATCCATAGAGCTGGCCCAACTTGGCCAAAGACACAACACCGCACCCTCATCCCCCGCACCCTCATCCCTAACGGCGACGCGGCCTCCCCGGCCCGCCGTCCTCTTTCTCTTCCTTCCAATCCTCTGGTGCCGGACGCTGGCAGCTGCGCCCTCGGACTAGCTAATGTCGCGGGTTGGAGGACGAGAAGATCGTGGTGGCTGGAGCAAGTGGTCACCGCGCTCGGCGTGGAGCGCGCCGCCGGCTGCGCGAACTGCGCCGGCTCCGATAGCTTGCTCACCACCGACGTTCTCCTGGCAATGCTGAATCGCTTCTTCATGAACGTCGATGTGCTCGCGCACGCCAAAACCATCGTGACCTAGCGTAGTTTGCACTGCAGCCAGCCATGCAGTGTCCAACTGTTAATTTGTACAAATTGCTCTTAGAAAGTTATTGATTGGAGACTGCTTCTCATTTGATTATGTGTTTTCATATCGATTATGATTAATCTAAAGTTCTGGACTTTCAAGCATTAAAGTAACTGGTTCAGTATAGGCAAGACCTGAACAAATTTTGCTACTAAGTACTATCTGATAGTATTCGCTATTTAACCATAGCAGAAACATCAATCAATCAGAAGAACTGATTTGCCATGATTCAGTGATCAGCTTGTTGCCTAGATTACTTATGACAGCAGAGAAACAATGTAATAATAATTATGTGTGGTCTGCTAGGTGTATTATCTATTTACTAATGCACCTTGGTTTCTATATTTGAGCTATCATGTGCGGCGTGTAATCCCGACTTAAGTTTCTGCTTACCGTTCGTTTCCGTCTATTTTCCGATCGTATTTACCCATTTTCGTATTACCGTTTATCTCGCTATCGTTTTCGTTCCCGGCTGTCCGGCTCCGGCTCCTGTTTCCGTAAAAAAAATATGAAAACAAAAACGGTAGAGCTATTTTCCGTTCGTTTCCGTCCGTTTTTATCTATACCCGAATCTCCGAAAAAATCACAGTTAGCAGTGAGAAGGTGGTTAGGGGGAGAAGGGTTTTGCACTTTTTGCTTCTGCCCTGCCGAAGTCTACGATGGCAAGCGCGAGTTAGACACACGATATGACGATGGAGTAGACAACGCTAGAATATGTAGGGATAGATTATGGATGCTAGGTGGCGTGGCATCTTGGTTCGCATTTGCCGGCCTTTGGTCGCCCCTCACGACGCTGTCAACCGTGCCGCTAACGTGCCCGGTTGCCGTGCCAGCTTGCCAAAGCACGACGCAGCGGCGGTGTTGCGATTCTGCTGGGAGGGCCGTCGTCTCTTATCCATGCGGAGCTAGGAACCTCCCAGAAGTCCAATGCCAGGACCAGGAACCCAAGGGACTACCTTTGCCGGAAACCCCAAGGGACTACATGGGCCGGAAAATTTTCAACGGGCCACCAGTGGTTGTCGCCAAGGAGTTGGGCTGACCTTACAGCTCATCTCCGGTCCCACAGCGCACAAGGCCTACGAAGCCCATTGCACCCGCCTGCACTGCAGGCACAGCGAAATTCTCAAGGGCATGCTTGCAATTTTCTGCAAGCCCAGACCGCCATCGCAGCACCGGCGCCCGCCAACGAAAAGGGCTAAAACGAAAAAGAACCCCGGATGACAAAAATTTCCCACTCCACTCGAATTAGAACCCTAGCGGCAAAACCTTTGCTCCGTCCCGCCGTTCGCCCTCTCCCGTCCCGCCGCCGCCGGCGCCGCCACCCGGTATCCGCCGAGGAGGTCGCCGCCCGGGACGCTGCTCGCGGCGCCGCACTCTCTCCCGCGCCGCGGACCTTCGCCCTCCCCGCCCGCCGCCATGATCTGCGCGAGTAATGCCCCTCTCCCTGCCTCGCATCTCTGGTTCTCCTAACCCTAGCTTCTCTGATCCGTCGCTTCGCGAGCTAACTCGTCCCGTGTCGCTTCTCCTGTAGTCTCCGGCGAGGTGCCGGACGAGCCGGTGGTGTCGAAGAAGTCGGGGCTCCTCTTCGAGCGGCGGCTCATCGAGCGCTACGTTGAGGTCCGTAGCTCGGTCTCAGATCTCTCGCTGCGAATTTTTTATTCGGGAAAATGTTTGTGCTAAATTCGTGTCGTGATGGCGATGCCCACGACATTGCAGGACCATGGCAAGTGTCCCGTCACCAAGGAGGACCTCACCATGGATGATATCGTGCCGGTCAAGACCAACAAGGTATGGCTTCTTTGGTATGCTAACAAGCTGTTGCAACAAAGTTTTCAGTAGCATGTGGTGTGGACTGTGGACTGTAGAGTATCAGTAGCCTTTTTGTGTCTTGTAATGTTGCTCTCCGTACTAATTGAGGAAGGATATTAGTATCATTAGCCAATTTGGGGTATCATTAGCCAATTTGGGTCTCGTGAGGTTGCTCTCGATACTTCTTGAGCAAGGTGGCAAGGAGATCCCCTGTCATCATATGAGGAAACCAAATTACACAATAATATTCATTCAAGTAATGACAGCAGCATACTATACACTACTTAATAAGTAGGTAACAGCCTATACACCATGCATCCAAAATTGAAAAGAAATCACATAAATATTAAGAGGTTAGGGGATCAATTTGTTTGTAGCCACTGCATAACCTTTTGTCTAAAAGATATATCACATAAAAGGTTGTGAGGTTAGGGATCAATTTGTTACCGCTGCATAATCTTTTGTCTATCTTCATTGGTTGGGCAGTTTTTTGCACTTTAACTTCCCAGATATAGGTGGAAAAAAATGATGTAGGGTTTTAGCTTACCTTCATAGGAGACTATAATAATATATACATTGTCAATCCTAGATCCATTTTAGGTTCTTTTGTGTTTTCTTTTCCCATGATGTTAGAACAACCTATCCAGTAGCTGAAAAGGACATATGCTCAAGTTGTAGTTCTTTTGCTATTTTCAATGCAAAAAATTCTTTCTAAAAACCTGAACTTATGAAATTTATGAAATAACTTCACCCGATTTTTTACCTTCGCCCTTAAAAGTTAAACGTTAGATTGCTATACTGAAGTTTCAAGAACTAAATTAATATATATTTTTTGAATCAACAGTGGTATTTGATTTTGTGCACTGCGCTTGTACTTTTGCATCCACATCGATTAGTGTATCTGATTAGGACAACAACATTTGTCCTATACTCATTAATTACCCTGATAATCTCGTGCACACCTAAAGTATTTTATTACTGCTGTCCCAATGTGCCAAAACTCTTGAAGAACTCCATTCTTTGCAGGTCGTGAAGCCCAGGCCTTTGCAGGCTGCAAGCATTCCAGGACTCCTAGGGATTTTTCAGAACGTAAGAGGTTCCAACCTTTTGCCAGTTATCTTTTCTGAGCATATTTTAGAATATCTAAAATTTGATTATGGGGTGTTGAGAACCTTTCTTCTATTGTTTTTGTTAAGTGTGGTGTTATCGAGGTAGGTAAAAGCGCAAAAAGTGTGTGCCAAGGTATGGCACAGCATAACTGTCTGAAGCCACTCTGGCCGCATCGCACTTGCTCAGGCTTGTGCCTTTCTGGGCTTAAGTGTAAAGCGGCACATGCATTTTTTGCGCCTTGTTCCTAAGGTGATTTAAGGGCCTTGTGTCTCAAGTGTGTTTTCCACTTTTGGTTGCACTGGGTGTTATATTTGAAAGTGAATCTGACAGTTGACCTTATTTGAAGAATACAATTGAAATGCTTTGATGGTTCTTGCTTCTATGAATGCATTGAATCATCATGGTACTTAATATCTCTGTGATCCATAACATTTTTATTGTGGCCTGTCCAAAGTTTTGAATCATGATTCTCTAGCTCTTATCAGAACTTGTTTTTCCTGAATTTTGCAGGAGTGGGATGCTCTCATGCTTTCTAATTTTGCTTTGGAGCAGCAACTTCACACAGCAAGACAAGAACTTAGTCATGCACTCTACCAGGTCTTTCATTCACCTTTGCATATCCCTGTATCCTGGTTAAGTTATATTGCAATTTGCTTGGAACAATTTTTCAATATTTGGTTTTGTTAGTTGTTGAACTCTCACTCTCGGTAGTAGCAGAATTCTTACTCTCATCGAGAGAGGATGATACTAGGAGTTGGGGCAATTTTCTGGTTTATTTCTCACACAAACTCACATAAATGCTATGCCAACTTTTGGGGATACATATCCCTAGTATATGCCTGCTAGTTAAGATGCTAAGATGTTGTCCTCTAATGCTAGTCTTGGAATGCAATTTTCCTAGCTAATATTTGGTTTTATATAGCAGCAGCCCCACAAAGACCAGACCAGCCAACACAACACAGAGACTTATCCATCAGGTTTTATATAGCATAGCTAAAGTCTTCAATTTTGGATTTCGGTATATATAGCATAGCTAAAGTCTTCAATTTTGGATTTCGGTATATCAAGGGTCTGTATTCGAGCTTCTCCATACCTTTGTAGCTGGAGAATGATAGATTCAGGTTGAATATACCACTTCACTTGAGCATTCTGAGTATCCCTCCTTAAGTTCTCATTGTAACATTAGGTGTGCTAGGATGCCGAGTCATTTGGTAGCTGAACTATGTTTCCTGGCTCGTTCTAAAATGATTTTTTTGAATCCAGATTGGTAACTCCAAATTGTAATTTATATTTTGGATAGTAAAAGCGCGTCCCTCTGTTGATGAAAAAAGTGTAGTTTTGAACATTGCCACGAGCCCAAAGCTTACTCTGACTGGTAGTTTCTGCTAGAATGCATTTTTCCTTTAAGGGCATGTTTGGATACATGGGCTAATTGCTAGCTAGCTAAAAATTAGCTCTAGTGCATCCAAACAGGAGCTAATAGGTGGGCTAATTTTAAGCCAAGTCTTCAACTAGTAGCTAGCCAACCATAGCTCATTTGGGCTAAATTTTAGCTCCAACTAATAACTAGCCATATGTATCCAAACAGGCCCTAAATATGATGAAATTATAGTGATATATTTTTCCTTTATATGCCCACTTTCTTATTACTGATAGAATTTTCTGCTGTATTTAAAGATCAAATGTTATAGAACTCTTCTCAACTAAATGATATCTTTCAGTGTTCCAAAAGGTGCTATTCTGCGCTCTCCGCTTATGTGATGGGCGTGGGTACCATGGAACCTTGGGGGTGGGTGTGTGTGTGTGTGGGGGGGTTAGGCGGTACTCTCGCGTGTTGCCAGCCCGACATGCCGCCCTCGGTGGCCGCTATGTTTAGATCCACCCAGGGAGGTACGTGTGAGGGAGTATGGGACTTCAGGCGATGTCAGAGGAGGTGGGTATGTCTAGCGGCTTTGGAGAAGAGGGGACAGTGGGTGGATTAGGCAAGGACTGGGGGCGGCAGGCAACGTGGGGGAGGCAGGGACTGGGTGCAGTGGTGGGGGGAGGCACGGACTGGACATCGGACAGCAGCGATGGGGACGGAAGGTGGTGGCGCCGCTGCCAGTTGAGAGTCTCTGCAGAGCTGGGAGCAGCAAATGGATAAGGTGTGAGGGGAGGGGAGGGATAAGGCTTGCTCTTCAGACTTGGGCTTCGGCTGCTTTCATGGGCCTTTCTATCTAACTCTTGGCCCACTGGTATCCTGTTTCTTCTTTTCTTTTTAGACTTTTAGATGTAATATGTATGGCCATGGAATGCCTAGGCGGGCCTAGGCTCTAGGCGGAGGGTCACCGCCTAGAGATCGCATAAACCTTTTGTAACCTTGTTATATTTTGGTTGTACTTTTTTTTTGGAAAAATAGAAAGAAAGAGGATTATCTGGCAACTGATTTGTTTACTTTGCTTTTTTGTCTCTTCCAGCATGACGCTGCCTGCCGTGTTATAGCCAGATTAAAGAAGGAAAGGGATGAGGCTAGAGCACTTTTGGCTCAAGCTGAGAGACAGATTCCTGCATCAGTTGCAGGAGCTGCTCCTGCAGCTGTTGTTTCCAATGGAAAAAGAGGTACCAGCTGTTTGATGTTCTGCATCTAAATTGATATTTCAAGTTTTAGGTATCTCATAATACATCTTTGTTTGATACAGCAATAGAAGATGAAATTGGCCCTGACGGGAAGAAGATTCGTCCTGGTATCAACCCTGTCATGATTGATGATCTTACAGAGTGTAATACCATGCTTTCAGCACAGCGTAAGAAAAGACAGGTATGTGTTGTGCTCCATATTCAGCATTAAAAGTTAAAATAAGGTCTAAAACATTAATTGTGGTAGCTGTACTTTATAAAAAAACTGAATTCTCTAGAGTTAGCTTGCTTCATGAGCTTGTCATGCATCAAGTTATTTTGACTGTAGATTGCATGTTAACAAGCTAGTTCCATATCCTTCAACTGTCGTTTAAGCTTTAGTTGCATGTTGTTGAGTTAGTTACTACGGAGTAATTGCTTCTGTTTTCTCTCAGGTTCCTCCAACTCTGGCACCGATCGATGCACTCGAGAGATACACTCAAATCTCCAGCCATCCCCTTCATAAGACAAACAAACCAGGCATTTTGTCCATGGATGTTCATCCTTCAAAGGTTAGTTTGTTACTATGTGTTTGGATATTATATATCTCTTTGCTGTAATGGCACATAAATTGATCACTTATATCTGGCGGTGATGCATTTTAATCATGGACAAATTAGCGTCCCACACATGACTGTTTATATGCTTCAGAGTCCTTGTTTTAGCTGGCATAATTAGCTTTAAGCGGTTAAGGATGATTTGTGTCCCATTCATTTCAAGTGTAATTTGCCTGGATGTTATATATCTGAAGTCTGAACAGGAAAACCAGTGAATTGTTCTTGATGCAAGGGCCTTCTCAGAAAATATTGAGTTCTATCAAATCATATTCACAAGTTTTCAGTTATCATTAATTCATCATAATTATTGATGTAGTTGTAGCTTTGATGGGAACCTTGTTTATTTCAACTTTAGTGAAGTTAAATTGATGTAGAATTTCATTCTATTTATCCAGTTACCTTGTTCTTGTCATGGATTTACAGGACATTGTTGCAACTGGGGGTATCGATACAAATGCAGTACTCTTTGATCGGGCATCTGGTCAAATCTTGTGCACGCTTACTGGTCACTCGAAGAAGGTATTTCCCCATGTGATTTTGAATTTTGTTCTATCTTCTATAATTTCCAGCAAGTTGTAACATTGTAACTTTCCATTACACAGATAACCACTTTGAAGTTTGTTCCACGGGATCAACTCTTTGTAACTGGATCAGCAGATAAGGCAATTCCCATTTACCATAGGTTTAAGTAACCACTGGAATAATAGGTCATAGTAATTACATTACTGATTTATTTGCAAACGTTGCAGACTGTTCGCATTTGGCAAGAGAATGAGAATGGAAGCTATAACTGCGTCCATACACTGAAAGATCATACTGCTGAGGTTAGTATTTTAGCGGCCAGGATCTTATAACGCTTGCATTCTTAATTCTACGTATTTTCCTATCTTTAGACGAATGGTTTGCCCAGACAGCTATTAGTATGCTATATATATATATATATATATAGAACTATCCTCTGTAGCTGGCTACAAAATAACTTATTTTGTAGCCACCTTGAATTACGATAATTACTATGTTAATTTACGAGATTATAGTAACTCCTTACTAAGTGATTTACTATAACGTTATGGTAAACATCCCCATGTGTTATAGTAACCCAACTATCGTAAATATGTATTGACATTATCATAAATTAGTATATAAAATTATCGTAAATGAAGGTGGCTACGGAATAACTTATTTTGTAGCTAGCTACTGAATATACTCTCCCTATACATATATTCCTTTGCATTCAGATTCCATTCGTATGGCTTACAAATTTACTTTTATTACTTTGTATGTTTAATAATTGAATCCTTTTTTATGTAAGAATAAATTATCAGAGGTGGAATTTATATTGTAAAATAATTTTGCAAAATATTTTCTGATGGATGCCTGTAGTATGCTTCTATCAAAAAGTATAAAATATCTTTCTTTTTTTCACCAAATATTCTTGGTTGTTGCACTCTTAACTGTTTTGGCTCATTCATGTGTGCTGTTATTAATTACAGAAATGTGAAATGCTCCCCGTACTTTTATAATATAGCAGTGCTTAGTGCCTACTGTCTTAACTATTAGTAGTCTTGTTATTAAAAAGCCTAATTTTCTTTTTGTAATCTCTTAGGTTGAAGCTGTTACAGTACATGCAACTCAGAAGTATTTTGTGAGTGCTTCCAAGGATAACTCGTGGTGCTTTTATGATATGTCAACAGGATCTTGCCTGACACAGGTTACCTCCCTCACACACATGCACACATATTCTTACTACACATGAGTATGCATACCAATGTGCATGATTATTTTTATCAGGTTGGTGAGGCTTCAGGACAAGAGGGATATACATCCGCGGCTTTCCATCCAGATGGTCTTATCCTTGGAACAGGAACTACTGATGCTGTTGTTAAAATTTGGGATGTGAAGACTCAGGTGTGATTTGGTACTATGGTATCACTTTATTCAAGATTGTTTTTAGGTGTTCATGCTCTTGAAACATATCTGATAATGACATTTCTATCTGTAGTCAAATGTCGCAAAGTTTGAGGGGCATGTCGGACCAGTCACTGCTATGTCTTTCTCTGAAAATGGTTACTTCCTAGCGGTACGTAATTTAGATAAAAGCTATGTGCACAATGTTAAATTTATTTAGTTTCTAATATTTGCCATCACTTTGCAGACTGCTGCTCATGATGGTGTCAAGCTTTGGGATCTTCGGAAATTAAGAAATTTTAGGACCTTCTCTCCCTATGATTCGGACACGCCAACCAATACCGGTAAGTAACTTGGCTGTGAACAGCAAGAATGGTGCACATGCTTGCATTTGCATATGTATAATTAGAGCTATCTGGAGAGGGTCATTTGATTTATGAAATTCAATATCGATTTGTTGCCTTGATACTATATTGTTCTTTTGTTTGGATCTGCTTCCGTGTAGAATTTATTTGTTCTCTTGTAACTGGATTTTTTGGGTTCTTATTAAGAGTGAATTTAATCATATGATGCATGACATTTTTTTTTTCCTGCAGTGGAATTTGATTTAAGCGGAAACTATCTTGCCATTGGTGGTTCAGATATAAGGTATGTAGTAACTTGTAATTACTGGTATTTGAGAGTTCTAGAATTTCCTGGCAATGTTGTCGGGGATTCCTATGTGTAATCTAGACAGGGTATATAGACCTCCACTTTGCATGCTGGTTGCTTGATCGCCTAGTGATCACTTCTCTGAGCATTGTTTAGATGTTTGCTGCACTGCATTTGTTTCAACTATCCTGTTTCAAATTATTTGTTTAAACGGTGTTACTTTCAAATTTGTTGCTTTTGGTGTGTAGTATGATTTTGCTTATTCCACAAGAGATGTTTGAAATGCTACTGTTCCTTGTGTCGATTAACAAAGCAACATGCATCATTGATTGGTTTCTGTCTGGCAGTTGTAAACTTGATAGACAATGCAAACCATTTTCTTGTATCTGCACCATAATATTTATGTTGCATAAAAATATTTAACTCCTTGGTCCATATATAAGTCAACAAATCTTCCATTGATGTACTCGGTATTATATATACCTAGCATAAAGCTAAAGCTTGTGCGTTACATAAGAATGATCCCTCCTAATAGTGATGGTCACATTATATGGTAAAGCTGAAAGACTCCTGATTGTGTCTTAGGGTCTACCAAGTAGCAAATGTTAAGAGCGAATGGAATCTTATCAAGACATTACCCGATTTATCAGGAACAGGTATGGCCCTCTTTTTGTCAGTCTCTTGGTGCCATTCCTTCGTAGTTCTTGGAGCACACATTGACGCGGTGTTATGACATTTGTCCGTCCACAGGGAAAGTAACTTCCGTAAAGTTCGGAGCAGATGCTAAGTACATAGCCGTAGGTTCTATGGACCGCAATCTACGGATATTTGGCCTCCCTGGAGATGACCAAATGGAGGAATCAAACACAGCGGCTGAGTGATGGAAATCCATGGTACCTAATTTGTTTCTTCTGCTATCCTCGGCATTGTATTCTGATGATGGATAGACTGAGTGGACATGGATACATCACCGTCACAAGAGGGAAGGGTCCTGGCGGGGATTACTGGTTTGAGCTTCAGTCGGTGTAAACAAGATGTGACATTATTGTATTGTAGGCCTTACTAATTCTGCTGATGAGGATACAATTTGTTTTGACGAGTACGATGCTAAACAGCAAAGTTCTCTGCGCAGATTCCAGTGATTCAAAACAAACTACTTGCTTCTCAACTTCCTTTATTACATAGGTCAATGGAAGCACTGTCAGACGCGCCCATGCGTGTGTGTGCAGTGTGATCTGTGAAGATTGGTGTTTTGTGCAATTCATTTCGTTTCCGATTCTCTTAGGTTGTGCGCGTTTATGGATCAATGACAGATTAGCTGCTAATCCTGCTGTCTCATTTGTGTATTTGGCCCCTAACGAGAGATGATCCTTGGCGACACACCGCCAGTGCTTGTGCCTCTAGAAGTCTAGAAAGTCTGAACAACTGCGACGTAGAAGAGCTGGAAAATCAGTTAATTATCTTGAGCCTATAGAAGTCTAGAAAGTCTCAAACCGTAGAGAGCAAGAAAATCTGTTAACTACGTATTTGCGTGTCTGTATTTTTACTGCTAAGAAGTATGAACTGAGAACAGAAATGGAGAAATGGGATGTAAGAGACTACAATTGCTGCTAATAAGTATGAACTGAGAACCGAAATTGAGAAATAGGATGTAAGAGAATACAATTACTGCAAAGAAACAGAGAACAGTAATGGGATGCAATACAAAAAAAAGATGGCTAAACATGATGGTCAGGAACCGATCGGCTGGGGCGGCTGGCCAGCTCCCTCACATGGATACTATTTACAAGCTAGTAGTATTTCTCTCCCATATAAACGATCTAGCAAATACAATTACTGCAAAGAAACAGAGAACAGTAATGGGATGCAATACAAAAAAAAGATGGCTAAACATGATGGTCAGGAACACACCTGGTCTCAGGATGGGAACAAGTCGGGTTTCTCCCACCGAACGATATGGACCGTGGTCTCAGGATGGGAACGGGTCGGGTCGGACCGTTGGGTAGCTGGTCCGACCCAAAAAACGAGGCCAATGGGGCCTCAAATCAGAATTGGGCCAGTGAAGCCGGTACCTGTTAGACCGATGGTGGGTCGGCCTCGGCGCAGCTCCATTTCGGTCTGACCACGCGGTAGTCCGTGGAGTCGAGGTCGCTGTACGCGCCGCCGCCGCCGCCGCGAGCACGCAAGACCGTGGAGCTGGGCTACAAGACGGCAGCGAGCGCCTTCAGCTTCGGATCCTCCGCCTCCATTAAGGTGAGTGGCCTTCTGCTCCTTCGTGTTGGCCCTCTTGTTCTTGGCATTTCTTGCTGTCGATCCCTAGATCCTTCTCGCCATTTCTTGCTGCTCATGCGTCGTGGGAAGACCGGAAGACATGGCCGCGCGAGGGCCGATAGGGAGGAGGTGAGACGATGTGCGGAGGATCGCCGGACGGAGCGCCGCCGCCGCCATATTCTTGCTCAGTTCGTATTTAACTGGTTTAGAATTGGGATGGCAAGAGCGTATTTATCTCAGTTCGGATTTAACTGGTTGGGAATTGGTCCGGAGTTAACTGCAAATATAATGTACAGGCAGCATCAATGCTTGAGGACTCGGACCCTATAGAGTTCCAATGCCTGTTGGATTGCTAGCTAGTACCATAAATATCAACACCAGGGCATTGCTTATTAATGCGGTTCTTTGATAGCATAAAATGTAGTTAGTTTGATGCATATATCAGCTGATTGGATCGAAACGAATTAAAATAGCATGCTGAATTGCTGATGCATATGGCCCTGCTAATTTTGACTGTCAAATCAAAAGTTCATTACTGCATAGCGTCGTCAGGTCAGGGCTAGCTTTACCATCCAGCAGCATATCTGTTTGTGCTGAACAAGGAGCCTTAGTTCTCCTACCTTCTGTGCAGTACCAAATTCTTATTTTTGTTTTTCAGTTCCTATCAGCCATGATAAAATCATAAAATACATGAAATGATTTTATTGTATTTTTTAGATCAGAAACATGGATGATGAAAAGGGGGGAATTGAACTGACTGCACTTAGTTTTCTAAGATAGTTCTGATTGATTAGTTCTACCTTGTGTGTTGAGTCGAGATGCAATGTTGGAGGGGGAATTTAGTATGCTTGTACCTTGTCGCTTTGCTTGCTCTTGCAGTATGATTTATTGGTATACCTGATACATGTAGAGTACTTGAAGCTCAAATGGTGCAAGCTAGGACAGAGCTAAACTAGTTTCGTATTGACGCTATAGTTGTTTGTCAGCTGGCTGGCTGTGACTTTGTGAAAAGAGCATCATGTGGATTTATTTAGTGTTATTTGGGGTAAGCTTTTTCAAAAGCACAAGCTGCACAAATTGAAATGCTGGATCAGAGTGACAATTCCTGATTTTATTAGGTTGGCAGTGACGGCTCCTGCTTTTCCTGTTCTATCCAAATGAATCTCCATGTCTTGGATAATCAGCACCCACCATCTTCATCCTTTGTGTTTAATAATCTGATCTTTAGCCATTGGTTATGTTCAGAACTTCAGATACTGTGTGAACTCGCTAGTTCTTTTAGCATGGATAGATTAATTTCATTGTGCATCAACTATTCCTTTATCTTGCTATGGCCTTTAAATCTGACTCATGATGTCTTGTTTTTTTTTTTAACTATGCTTAAATCTATGGCTCATGATGTCTTGTTCACATAATAGCAACATTGCATCAACTATTCAAATCAATCAATTGTCCACCTCACCCAGGAACGCACATGAAATGGAAACCCAGTTAAAATCGTATGATCAAAATCTCTATTTTCCCTTCTTTTTTCACATAAAGAGAGCTCTCATCAGTTAAGAGTTGGTAAGATGCTCGATACACGTTGGAACCCTGCTAACCACATTGCTGCGAATTTACACAACGAGTGTGTTGGCTCAACTTATGGGCTACTCTATTTTTGAAAAAAATGGAAGATAAAAATTTGTTGGAGAGATAAAAATTGAAAAAATTGGCTCAACTTATGCTAATCAATTGTACTACAACTTTGATGTAGATCGTTTTTCCATCAGAGATAATTTGAAAAAAAATATAAAATATTGAGTTTCAAATTATGAAAACTTAAAAACAAAATTTTTAAGCCTTAAATGATTTTAAATGGAAAAGTCGTCAACTAAAGTTGTAGATCTATTCGAGTACTACAACTTTGATATAAAACTTGTTTTCAATCAACTTAATTTAGAAAAGTTATAAATTTATTGTGTTTCACCTATTTTTAAAGATGGACCAAATTGAATTAGCATTGTCTCGTATAGATATTTTGTGAAAGGAATTCCTTTGTGATATATAGTTAACGACAGTCAGTTTTAGACGACTGGGCCTAAACACTCTGCCTTGATCTCAACAGTAGCATTCCGCCCCGCTCCAGCCTCAGGCAAATTCAGGTCCGTTCACTCCTGCCTTTTTCTTCCCCGTTCACCCTGCATGCCGGCGTGCGCTCTCTCTGTCGTCGGCCGCCACCGCCACTGCCCACTCTAGGTGCCCAGGTCTCCGTCGGTCCCTTGGGCAGGCCTTTGCTGATCCCTTCGCAGGCGAAGAGCACAAAGGTATGCGACCCCTTCTCGTCCCTTGTGCGAAACTGAGCACATGGACCCTTAACTTAAGCTATTTGGATATCTGTATTCGGATCTGATATAATTACAAGTGTTATGCCTATTATCTTCAGGGTTTTTTTTTTCAAAAGTTATTTGGTCTCCATGTGTACATGCATGTCCTTTACTGGTCTGCCCCTGTAGCTGTAGATAATGGTTATTCTGTGAAATTCATTGTCATATTAACCCTCCCATATGTGTTCACGGCTACATTGTTCTAGGATGTTGTTCTGATTAGCTGCGAGCTTGCTTGTCACCAATATATTACCCGTCTGGAGTCTGGACTCTGGAATATCATGTGTTTTCTGTTCAAGCTACTGTGGTTCGGACTCTTCATCAAATGGACACCGCTTTGCCTTTCTAGAGTTCAGTTCCGAGTTCTTGTATCATACAGATCACTGATGACCAGAGATCATGCCCAGGGATTGACATTTTTATTTTTATCTGTACACAATGTTTCCTCTTCCCATTTCTCTTGCTTGTAGAAAAATAATATGATTATGCTACTGCTTACAGAGGAAGCGGTGTGCCGGTGTCACTGGCTAAAACTCCTCTTGCAAATTCGACATATGTCTGCAATGAGAGGTCCTGTTGGCTCCGCCCAGAGTCATGTATTCAGTAAAGGCAGCAAGCCAAGTTAGGTTACTATTTGATCAGACAGTTGTCATATATCTGAAGAATAACATCTTTCCTTGAAAGTTAGAATAATATTTCTGTTTGAAGGTTTTTACGAGTGATTGACTGATTGCTCTTTGCGCTTGCCATGCGGTATTTTCTGTCTTAGGTTCATTGTACTAGATTTTTTTTATCTTTTTCCTAAAAGATGACTAATTGAACTTGTTATTTTGAACTCTGATTTAGATAAGGTGCGAGCACTATTATTTCTTGACATCTGAGCTAAACTCGATTGGATCAAATTGTAAATGGAAATACAGGGCAGGCAGCTTCAGGAAATTTTCATGTGAAACTTGCTTCTTTATATAGCACACCATCTTTCTGTTAGTCTGGGCATCTATCGGGGACGGGACAGACTTAAAGGCACTTAGTGGGATGTCATTTTCAGCTACTGCTTCATTGACTTATGTTACACTGTTTGATGGAAGCTCTTGTTATAATGCAGGCATACGTTGAATGATGGCAACTCTGAAAGATGCAGCAGCAAGGAAGCCTGTACTGGCAACAATCCGTCTTATCGTCCCAGCTGGTGCAGCCCGTCCTGCACCTCCAGTTGGCCCAGCACTTGGTTTCTATCGGCTCAA